TACAGTATATTTATGTGTCTGAATCTGAACCGATATTTTTAGTTAATTCAGTATGTCTCACGATGTCATTATTATAATTAAAAAACCGACTTCAAAAAACCAAAAAGTAATAACTTATATCATTATAAAATGAGCTTATGGCACCGACTTCTAACTTCAGTGGGTGGGTACCCTATCAGTACCTACTAATGATAGTTATTTTTTTCTTTTTAATTTAGACTTTTTGGTTTTTTGAAGTCGGTTTTTTAAACGCAGTTTTTATTTTATTATTTTATCATTTTCAGTGTAAAAAACCAAAAAGTCTAAATTAAAAAGAAAAAAATCGGATCTATGTAGATAGATCCGTTTTGTCACTTATAATCCCAAGGCTCCATCATCAGATCGACTCCAGACCCTTATCAATTTGTAGTGTTTAAAAATCCTAATTGAAAACATAATAGACGCCTCTCTTCCCTTCTCTCACCTAGAATTTTCGAAAGTTCCCCTCGGTTTCCTTAGAATCCCATCATCAGATCCTGACCTCATGGAAATAGGACCATCTCGGAAGTATACCCTTTCAAACAAAACAAGAATTTTGGGAATCGGTTCACAAATGTTGGAGTACTGCGCGAACAAAAAAGGAAAAAAAACAATCAGCCGAACATAGTACCTCCTCCTTTTTTTGAAGTCGGTAAAAATAATTAAACTGGCCCAATGACAAACAAGGTCATGAATTGTCATACCTTCAAGCAATAATATTACGTACAGGTATAGGTACAGGTTTCGTCACTACATCTAGTCTAGTACTTAGAGTTATTAGTGCAGCAAGTTAGGTAACTACTGATCGCGAGTCGCAACAGTTACAGGGAAACCAGTTTGTTTACGTATGTATGTGGTCATTGAGCGATAGTGGGATAGGCAGAGAAAAGTTATTTGCTAAATGTATTTGTAAGATATCTTCTGATTTATTTCGTTGTAAGACCCAAGTCAGTTCAGTTATTCATGACCCTGGTGGGTGCTGGATTGCAGTGTTGCGATGTTTTCATGGTTGTATCTGCTGTAGATCCTGGCTTACAAGAGTTCCGGCAATTTTGGAAAAAAAAGTAATTGAGGATTGGTAATTATGATGAATTGATATCTCAGCAGAAATCTCAGGTGATGATGTAAAACACTTCCATCATAACCTCTTCCCTCTTGTCCTGATCATCTTTAGCGGTACGGGTGCCCATAGGTGATCCATTTGCTCGTTTACACACTGCTATAAAAAGATCTCCTATAAAATTATTGTAATTTTTTTATGGGACAAGTCGTGAAACGATCGGTCAGATCACCTGATGGTAAGCAATCGACGTCGGCCGTAGACACCTGAAACATCAGAGGCGTTACAACCAGCTTTTTGAGGATTGTTGGCGATTCAGGTATTGGGAAGATTGAGGGGGGGGGAGTAACTGGGCCTCCGATAACCTCAATCAAACTCGTCACTCGACGAAACCCAGCGCAAGCGTGTTTCTCGTCGGTTCTTTGTGAGGCCGTGGTATCACTCCGGTCGAGCCGGACCATTCGTGCCGAAGCATGGCTCTCCCACACTTGCTTATACTTAAAGTCAATATAGATTTTCGTATTCCTTAATTTATTACTTGTAGACATAAGTTTTTGTCCGCATGTCATTTGAGACAAATAACAAGCATTACGTACAAACTACAAAATTAGGTATTTAATACCACAAAAAATATTAATACTCACAATGTTTCCGACGTATAGAAATCCTTGAAAAGATTGTTGCAAAAACTACATTTAATGTTACGAAATTATTTATAAATATAAACATAGATATGGAAATACCGGTAGATGCAAAATAAAACAACTGAATTATTCGTTCTTCGATTTTCTTTATTTAAGCACAGAATAGGTACCTAAAGAGATAACATTTTTGGTGCTCACCAGAGTCGCTAGGTGGCGATATGGTAGCATGTAGATGCCCGTCTCCTGCTAAGCGAGAGTACAATGGAAACAGTATTTCATTTTCCCCATTTTTTAATGTTTTCGGCTTACTCATGTAATTGTTTGACGAGGAACTCGACTAGTTTCAAGCCATGCTAGAGGTTCATGTTCATAAGCAGCATTCCGCGACTCACCACCCGGTGACTGTCGCGCTGCTGAAACATAATAATTAATTTAGTATGTCTCACGAACGTTTTAATAGAAATCTAACACTTTTCTTTATGACCTTGGGACACATTGGTCTTTAAACTGTCAAACACCAAGCGGTCACCGGTGACCGCGACCTATTGTTCTTTAATTGTGTCTATAAAACCGGTACTCGACGAGTTAAGTATATTTTTACACTCTTTATCCGAATAAGGTAGATGCCTAATTTTTATTTTAATGTCCGTCTAGGTCCGTCTGGTAGATTATTTTAAACCATTAGACACGTATTTTTTATTTTCTTACAGAAACGAATACTTTCGACGATATTGATTTGAAATGTCGCGTGACGTCACTTCTATGTACATACATTTTATACGTTGAAATGACGTAGCTACCTCCCACTGCTAAACTTTGATTTGTTTTATCTAAGTATTGTTTTATTATACGACAAAATAAAAAAATACGTGTCTAATATTTTTTCATTACCTAACTTACGGACTATTTTTTTTTTAATTTTCATACCCTGTCATCATCCCAATTGAAGTAACGTTTGTAAACTTCCTGATTCCGAAAACCAACTTAAGTACGATCATCATACATTCCTACTTGACTGCCTCATTAACCGAGTGGTCGCAAGTGTGACTGCCGTGCAAGGGGTCTCGGGTTCGATTGCCTGGTCGGGCAAAGTATTACTTGGTTTTTTAATATTTCTCAGTAGTAGCACGGAGTCTGGAATAAGCTCACCCCCTATTTCAAGGGACTCATAACATAAATAGTGAAAAGCGAGTGTTACATTGTACAGTGGCATTAAGTGTCGTAATGTGCCCCTCTGCCTACACTTTCGGGGATAAAAAAGACGTGATGTTGTGTTGCATTCCTGCTTAACTGACCCACAACAAGGTTGATATCATATTATATAAGTGATAACTCATTTAATTAGACATTTTATTTCATGTCAAGTAATCTACTATATAAAAATAAGTCGGGTTTTCCTTTCTGACGCTATAACTCCAGAACGCACGAACCGATTTCCACGGTTTTGCATTCGTTGGAAAGGTCTCGGGCTCCGTGAGGTTTATAGTAAAGAAAATTCACTAATCACTAAACGAAATGTTACATAAAACGAAGCCATCTGGTGGCGAAACGGAGTTCGCCGGGTTTGCTAGTTAATAATACATTTGCAATCCATTACTGGTGACTTGTAACGTATTTTCCAGTGACAATCTAGACTTAAATAGCCGCATTCGTCCGGTAATCTTCTAGACACTTTAAATACTAGATTTCAAATTATAATTGTGTATGGAAATGAGCTCATGGCTAACGTCAATTGGTTTATACACATCAACTGCCCGGGACTTTACTGCTGGTCTATCGATTTAATGTCGATTTCAATGACTGCCTCGTTGGCCGAGTGGTCAAGTGCGACTCGGCAAGGGGTCTCGGCTTCGATTACCGTGTCGGGCAAAGTATTGGACGTTTTCAAAAATCTCAGTAATAGCACGGAGCCTGGAGTGGGGGCTAAAACATCATTTCTACGTATAAAATATACATAGAAGTGACGTCACGTGACATTTCGAATCAATATATCTTCGAAACTATTCATTTCCATAAAAAAATAAAAAATACGTGTCTAATGTTTTTAAATAATCTACTAGACGGACATTAAAATAAAAATAAGTCATCTACCCTATTATGACAACTATAAATACATTTGTATGTATGTATAATTATATATATCAACTATGCAAAATAAGTCTAGGGTATTTAACAGTCGAGTTTGAAACTTCTAGACCAAAGAAACAATCAAACAACGAACCTTACCATACAAACTAAAATAAGCTTTATAACTTAGGAAATAAGAGTCTTTTGACGTCTATGGTTATTGGTAGAGTAGTTTAACATGATGTGTTACTTAACCCAAGCTTATGACATACACAGAAGATGAAGTAAAGGTCGATTGTGAACGGCCTAAAGCGTTTCCTTATGACTTGCGATTTTTAATCGCACGACTAAAAGCTGTTGTTGAAGTCTTCGTATTTATTCATGGAATAGTTGTATAATTTTTTTTTCTTATTATGTTGACAATAGTTAAACGAGTTTTTTAAAGATTTAAAAAAAAACAAAGCGCATGATTTTCTCCCACGTTAGGATTTTCTCCTGTGTCATGGGTGCGTTCACAAACATAAACTTTCACATACACATAACACTCAGACCCGAAACAACTATTTGTGGATCACACAAAGAGTTGTTCCGTGCGGGAATCAAACCCGCGATACGTAGCGCGGCAGCCGATTGCGCAGCCACCACCCCAATCATACTGTCAATTAAAAAAGTAGTTTTAATATTAGGTATGTGACTGTTAATATAAATTATCAAATTCAATCTCCCATTGGAGCATAAAAGGTAATAGATATTTGTATTTTCTATAACCACAACAAAACATTAAGTACTTGAATGATCAATTAAACATAGTTTTTACTAGTGTATTAATGTATCAGTTTCAATACATATCACTATGAAGTCACCAATCAATAAATCAAAAACCTCATGAACAACTTTATGACCCATAAAATTTCAACAACAAAATAATTGTCTACACTTTTATTGGGAGTACAATGAAGCGATTTACATAATTATGGCACAAGAGAATCGCAGTTACGACATTTCTACGTGTCGCAGACGACCACGTGCGATCGGTCGCGGCCTTCTAAGACGCGGTCGTCACAATGAAAACACACCTTAAATCCTTGAAGTGTTGTTTAATCACTACGAAATTAAAGATCATTTAGACAAGCAAAGAACATTCGCGTTACTGGCGTCGTATGCAACGCAAGTGTGCATTGCTAAAGAAAATATTGTGAAAGACTTAGAAAATGTCGATTCGCAAACATTTTGTGTTGGTTGTGTTCAGTGTGTGCGTTTATGGCAGTTTGCAATTGATACCTTTGCGTAAGTTCTCTTTTTAAATGACATGACGTTCGGATTTTGAATGTAACCGTTTGTTCTTTTTAATTTTCTGGAGTCTTATCTAACGTCTCTTGTTTTCTTTTACTATAATCAAATACCTAGTGTGTCATATAAGATAAAATATTCTATGGATGAGCTCTCAATCATTTATGAGTTTTAGATTAACCCAACTACGACTACCGATTCTAACAAACCATAGGTGCGATCTCTAGCTGAAGCAAAGAGTTATTGTGTTTTTTTTTATAAAATTCTAGAATTGTATTGAGCGACTGAGTTTAGTTTAAAAGATTCAGGTTTATCAGAGAGCGCTGCTGCCCGGTCGCTGTCAAATGTATATTTTCTTAGTCAGCTCTAACGACATGATACCTGCTGGAAGAGTTCTATTCTAGCCTTAGTGCCCTCACTACATGACTTGAACAGCTTATAATAGTAAACAATATAGTATTTTAAAATAAAATGATGTTTATTTACAGCTGACTACATCCATCCATGTTCAGAACTAAGTGACGAATGTTTCACAAAAGCCACAATGGATGCTATCCCAGGAATAGTGAAGGGAATCCCGGAGGCCGGGATCCCGTCCTTAGACCCACTCTATTTGGAGAAGAACATCAGCATGACGCTTCCCGGGAACTTGAAGATGACCTTCCATAATGCTAAGCTGGTGGGATTGAGTACCTGCATACCGGATAAAGTGTCGTAAGTAGAAAGCATTTAAGTTTATAATTGATTGTTAATGAATTGAATCTGTTTGGTTTTGAAATCTAGCCGATAGTACTAGAGATAAACACGTTCAAATCCTACCCTAATTTGTTTATCATCTACTTAACATAACATAACATAACGCCTTTTATCCCCGTCGGGGTAGGCAGAGGTGCACATTATGCCATTGTACAATGTAACACCCACTTTTCACTATTTATGTTACAAGTCCCATGTAATAGGGGGTGAGCCTATTGCCATATACCGGGCACAGTTGCAGACTCCGTGCTACCACTGAGAAAAACCCAGTAATACTTTGCCCGACTCGGGAATCGAACGCGAGACTCCTTGCCTGGCAGTCGCACTTGCGACCACTCGACCAACGAGGCAGTTATCATCTACTTATTTTAACGACATTTGGTTATAAATTTTGGAATAGTGGTTACAGTAGAACCACCCCTTATATTTAATAGAATTAAAAAAAAGAAGAAGTGATCTGTATTTATGTATGTTTGTGCGCGACTATATTGCGATTAGCTGAACCAACTTTGATGCGATTCAGAAAAGTGCTTATTACACTTCGGAGAAGGTTTTAATATATTAACCGATAACAAAAGAGGGGGTTGAAGTCGGTTTTTTTAAACGCAGTTTATACAAGAATTATATAATACATATATATATAATATTTAAAAATTATCCCTCTTTAAATAGGTGCACTTTAATATTCAAAAAATAGATGTAATGTTATGATCAAGTTTCAATATGAATGTCTCTCGACACAGACATCGATAACCTTCTAATCTAAAACAATAAAATTTGCATGACAATAAATTATTTAGCTCTTACAATAGGTAATCATTGTGGTCAATGGGGATACCTAAGATTATCATATAATATATGCTTCCGCAATAAGGACTATTGTATCAAAACCAGCTCATCGACATATCCAAAATTATTTTTCTTGAAAATATTTTAGAATTTAAAACTAAACTACTAATTTTTGCCAGAGTAGAGGGCGCTAGTCGCGATTTAGGTCCTTGATCCAAATTTCGTCATATTTCTCTGATTTAAAAATCCTCTCTCTGCTGTTTATGAATCGATATTTTGATATAGAATTAAAAAAGGACCTTTTCCTACCACTTTCAGGGTCAAAACGTTAAGTATCTATTACATTGTTTACTAACAAAACCGGAACATATAATCGAATTGCCCATACCTTATAAGCACCATGTAGATAAGAAAAAAACCCTGTCTTGCTTAACCATATAAATAAAAACCAGTGCCATCACGGAACTGATTAAATGGATTTATTACAGCAATTGCTAGACAAACAAAGAAAATCTCATGTTTTTCTATCAATGACTGACATTATATTATGGGTAGTCAGAACGAGAAACCCTGACAATTCTATTAAATAATATATCTATGATCTCTAAACATCAGAATCAGTCCAAATCATAACAGACTCAAAAAAAACAAAAACGTTGTCTGCTTTTTCATTGGGACCAGCCCACCACAACCTCCCAAAACCGCTACAACTTCTGTAAGCCACAATCTACAATCGATACAACCATGAAAACACCTTAATACTAACTTACGGCGTTGAATAACTGTATAGGTTCCCACAACGAAATAAAACAGGAGATATTATCAGAGAAGAATAACATAGCTGTCTACTTGTTGCAAACGTTAGATCTGTTTATAGATTCCTTTTTTTAAAACGTTGCCCCACTCTAGGATTGTCTCCTGTGTCATGGGTGCGGGTACAAACACACAAATTCACATACACAAGAGCCACCGCGACAACCGTGCAGTCATTTGTCAGCCAGAAGATGTCTTTTAAACTGTCAAACACCGCGAGGACACCGGTGACCGCAACCTATTGTTATTTAATTGTGTCTGTAATGACGGTACTCAAAGGGTTGACGAACAAACGGTCTTCCACGCAGTAGTAAGGGTTTGGCATAATCCCCCCACCTGACAGGTGGCTCAGGGATCGTAGTTAGGTCACCGAAATTTCGAAGATGCTGCTGATCTTTACTTAGTCTACAAATGGACTGTTGGTAAAGCCAAGTTAATTAGCCAAATAGCTATATCGATTGGTAAACTTTTAACCTAGAACATTTTTCTCATAATTATTAAAATGAAATTCGAAATGCAATGAATATTCAGTGGATGTAGAATTTATTGCATTATTTAGAATTAATTTCCTTTTTCTACACTGGCAAGGTCAAATAAGCGTTGAATTCATTCATTTTTTCGAGAAGTTTATGTATATAAATGAAATTTCTTTGGCAAAAGGAAGAAATGAGCAATAATTATTATTTTATTTACGTACTTTTTTAAGCAGTATTTATTATTTATTAATATAGTACAAATCGTTCAGGAACACCTTGTAGATTCTAATACAGTGAAACTATATGGGACTATTTCGGCATATTCCTCTCAATAGACGATTCTTCAAACATCTATGTCTACACATTATCCCACAAACCACAAAATATCTAGCTAACCGTCGCCCAGCGTTTCATAAACAACATACACATAGTTTCTTCACCTATTGCGACATCAGTAGGAGACTGGAGGTCGTCCAAACTAACCATTACTTAGCACGCAAAAACAGATATTTTAGAATGTATTACCGAATTCGTACTAAACCTAATTCTATGTATTTTTGGTGACAAGCCCTAGAACGGTAATAATAATTTATTTAAACTTTACATGAATTTAAAATTGTACCGAGGCGGACATAATTGGGATGATGACGGGGTACGAAAATTAAAAATAGGTATAATTAGTCCGTACGTTAGGTAATGAAAAAATATTAGACAAATATATTTTTAATTTGTCGTATAATAAAACAATACTTAGATAAAACGAATCAAAGTTTAGGAGTGGGGACTAAAACGTCATTTCTACGTATAAAATGTACATAGAAGTGACGTGACGCGACATTTCAAATTAATATATCGTTGAAAGTATGTATTCGTTTCTGTGAGAAAATAAAAAATACGTGTCTAATGATTAAAATAATCTACTAGAGGGACATTAAAATAAAAAATTAGGCATCTACCATATTCCATAGGCACTCTTAGTTATCAACTCTTAGGTGATGCGGTCCTAGGTGTGATTGGAAAAAAATACACTTAGAGTAAATTACAAAGTTTTGTATAATTCTAGCTTCTAAAACTGAATCCTGTGCCATTTTTCTTTTTTTAAATAAATATAAAATGGTATTGTATGAATGGTAATGTATAGATTTTTTTGTTTCCCTGCGTCTTGTTCTACGCCATTTTGAAAGGACTTAAAGGCACTTTGAACTTAAAATAGTACTTATTTAGTTTCACAAAAACTGCTAATGTTGAATTGACGTCACATAATGATCATGGTTATTTAAGTTATACCTAACTAGCTTCTGCCCACGGCTTCGCTCGCACTAATATAAAGTCTTGGGGCAGGTTTACAAAAGATAAAAAAGAACGCATTTTTGCCATGCCCATTATTAATATTCTACCTTGAAAATTACGAAATGCTTCATATAAACTTCCACCTCCTGTTTTAGGGAAGTGGTGGATTAGAAAGAGACAAAAAGTAGCCTATGTTATAGCCTAAAAAAAATAGGTCAATTTTTAGCGCCGTTCTGTCGTGAAAGACGAACAAAAAAACACACATACACACATACACACATACACATACACACACACACACACACACCCTCACACACACACACACACACACAAATTTATATATAATATTAAGTATAGATGTTTTCTAACATTTTTTTATTGTTATGTCTGGGATTTTTTGTACAATCTAATTATTCATGTTTTAGTCATAATCGTTAAGGTCAAAAGTATTAAAGATTAAAAAAACAGACATAAAACTAATCATCTAGACTAAAGTTCTAATTAAAAAAAAAACAAAAACCAGTTTAAATTCATTAAAATAGTGTTATTTGTTATTATTAGAAGACACATAATTTTATTTTTAAAAGTGCCTTCATTACCTAATTCATGAATATTAATAAATTGCTCTTTTACGTAGGTATGGCAACACTGTAAATGTCACTTGCATTCGAAAGACACCCAAAAAATAACAAACTTGACCTTGTGAATATCAAAATTCAAAACTAAAACCGGTACATATAAAATATTGTTGCAATACCTACTTATTACTGGTATACTGAATATATGTTTAAGTTTAATTTAATATACAATTTCATCCTTTATGTAGATCAATAAACTAAGTTGACTGCCTCGTTGGCCGAGTGGTTGCAAGTGCGACTGCTGGGCAAGGGGTCTCGGGTTCGATTCCCGGGTCGGGCAAAGTAATACTGGGTTTTAAAAAAATTCTCAATTGTAGCACGGAGTCTGAAATTGTGCCCGGTATATGGCAGTAAGCTCACCCTCTATTACATGGGACTCATAACATAAATAGTAAAAAGTGTGTGTTACATTGTGCAGTGACATTATGTACACCTCTGCCCACCCCTTCGGGAAATGTTAAGTTATGTAGATCAATAAACTAAGTTTATAAAAACTGATTTCACACCTTTTTTTGAAAGCGGTTAACATATATTAGATTAATAAACAAAAACCTGTTCCAAGTGTAACAACCACGTTTTCTGAAAATCACTTCAAAATCGGTTCAACCAATAGCGAGACAATCGTGTTTCTTTGAAATCGGTCTAAAATCAAAGTAATTTTTACTAGTATCTACACTTCTGTTTATTTCACCCTTCAACGGCTAAAAATCATGACAGTATTTGTACCTAAATCATTACCTGCATATCATGTCATAGTGTACGTTCAAAAAACACGCAAATCTTCATCATTATGCGCCATTATCTCACAATCAGTTGTTTGATGCGCGTGCGCAGCGCGTATTTGCGTAATTACGTCCGATTATATGCGTAAGTGTGCGGTCTAAATGTTTGTTGGTATTGACTGACGCTGAGTTTATGAGATATTGTGGTATAAACATAAACATGATAAACTGTATAGCTAGATAGATATTTTAACCCAACCAACTAACCAGTCATGATAAGTGGGAGCTAGACTGCATACTCGGTCCCAGTAATAACAATTTGTTAAAATATATATAATTATTTTGAAATCATTCAAAGCGTACCTATGGTATTAATCTGTCATCTGGGTGAGTGGGTACAGAAGTCTTTTGTGGTCTGGGCCTTTTTTTTGAGGGGTGAAAATCATCCAATGACTTCTCCCGCCCGGGTGAGGCGAGAGGGAATGTCAGACTTATACTGACTAAAAACCACCCCGTTCCTACTCCTGCACTTCGAGCCGGATCCCCGGCAACCCGTTAAGTCTTCCGCGGCTCCGTATTGGCATTATCCCACCGTACGCTCAGGGTATGATCTGGGCCTGGCATCATCTTAAAACACCTTTATATTCTTTAACCTATCACTATAAGCTTCTCGATTTAATTAATCTTCTTCTCATTTTGTACAGATCTCGTCGTAAGAAGCGCACGTTTGTGTTCGACATGCACTGCAACTTCACCGTGAGTGGACAGTACAGTCTACTGGGCAGGCTGCTGCTCTTCAACCTGGATACTGATGGACAGGCCAAGATCAAGATCTGTATGTATACCTTCTTAAGTTTCTTCCTCATCGTCATCGTATCAATAACCAGCCATTAACTGCTAAAGTGTGGAAGAGCCACGCTTCGGCACGAATAGGCCGGCTCGAAAGGAGCGATACCACGGCCCCACAGAAAACCGACGTGAAACGTCGTGTGAGTGAGGTTACCGAAGGCCCAATTACCCAATTTTAGGATTATGTTGTGATTGTGAACCGATTTACTAATCACAAAGACAAGTCGTATATTTAAATTAAAAGTTTCGTGAGACATACTAAATTAATTATTATGTTTTCGGCTTACTCACGTTGTTTGACGAGGAACTCAGTCACACGCGACGCGGGGACTGTCGCACTGCTACTAGGCAGTAGCCGCTTCTCTTGACGCGGAATGCTGCTCATGAATATGAGCCTCTAGCATAGCATAGCTTGAAACTAATCGAGTTCCTCGTCAAATGGGAAGTCGTATAATGTAGCAACCACGAAAACTAAAGTAAACATTAACGTTATCTGTTCTCCCAGACAACCAGCGTATTCGCTTAGAGGTGATAGAACGAGTGATACTGAAAAAGAATGGCGAGGGTCACTACAAGATCAACTCATACAAGTACAAGGCTGACTACGGAACAGACCTGAAGCTAAACCTCACCAACCTCATCAGAGGAAACCCACAGATCAGTAAGTATCAGGCCCTTTTTATATAATCTAAACTGATCTTGACTGGACGGTTGGTGCGGCATCTGGGCAACTGGCTGCCACGCAACGTGTCGCGAGTTTGATTTCTGCACGGAGCAACTCTTTGTGTGATCCACAGATTGTTGTTCCGGGTCTGGGTGTCATGTATATATGAACTTGTATGTTAGTAAACGCACCCACGACACAGGAGAAAATCCGAGTGTGGGGCAATGATTTTAAAAAAAGAACATTTATATAGATAAATAAAATTGTAGTGTCTGTTTGTAATATTAAAATAATCGCTTACCACATGCATATGAACATTTATTCGAAACACATACCAAAATAACATGTTTTAAAAAAAATCTGTCCGTTTGTCTGTCTGTATGTCTGTCTGTTGTTTGTACTAGCTAATCTCTGGAACGGCTGGACCGATTTTGACGAGTCTTTTATTGGCAGGCAGCTGATGTGCTATGCAGTAACTTTAGATTACTTTCCTAACTTTAGACTATTTTCCACATACATCTAGTAACTAAAATAACTATTATGAGACATAGTAAATTACTTGAAAATAACGGTTTATCGGTTTATCATGAATAAGAGTCCCGCTGTAACTTGAATCAAAAATCCCCAAACTGGTCAGGTTCGGGGATCACAAATAGATCACCTAAAACCAAAAAATATTTCAGTAAACCTTCGCCACACCTTAGCTTTCCGCTATCTATGTCTGTTCCCTATCACAGAACATATAAATTATATGTTCTGTGGTCCCTATCATAAATATAATAGAGCCTATCTTTAATACTACACGACGGATTTTGATGCGTTTTTTTATAGATAGAGTAATTCAAGAAGGTTTATATGGTCATAAAAGTAAAACCTAATTATTTATTTATTTATTCATAAACAAATTTACATTTGTGCCGAACACGGTTTTGATAATACGCAAATCAAACAAAATTAAACAATCACATAAAAATGAATAGGTAAATTGAGAAAATAACAATAAATAACCTAAATAAGATATTGAGAAGTTTATTGCAGTTATATTTAGAGTTTATAGTTAATTATAGATAATAAAACAGCATAGATAATTACGAAATACGCGTGATCAATAAATAGGCATAATAGATGTTTCCTTCGAACTTTAACTTTCAAACGTTGAAACGAAATAGAGTCGAATCATAAATTAAAAATAAATACCGATAATGTTTTTATAATTATTTTGGAATCACTAGACAACTTGGACAGCTTTATTCATTTAATATGTCTACGTAGCCAGTAATCTATTATATAAAAGAAAGTCGTGTTAGTTACACCACTTATAACTCAAGAAAAGCAGAATAGATTTGGCTGAAAATTGGTAGGGAGGTAGCTTAGAGCCAGGAAACTGACATAGGATACTTTTTAACCAAATTTTTTTTTTTACTTTTTACCGAAAACCACGAACGGGGACGGGAAAAAATGGGATTACGCGTACGAAGTCGCGGGCAGAAGCTATCTATATATATAAAAGAAAGTCGTGTTAGTTACACTATTTATAACTCAAGAACGACTAAATCGATTTGGATGAAAATTGGCGGGGTGTTAGCTTAGAACCAGGAGACGGATATAGGATACTTTTTATCTAAAATTTTTTTTTTACTTTTACCGAAAATCACGAACGGGAACTGGGAAAATGGGATTGCGCGTACGAAGTCGCGGGCAGAAGCTAGTTTAAAATATAATTTGTGACATTGACTTAACAATAAGTCAATAAATAATTTTCTTATATTTACATGTAGGTACACAAAACTGTGGGCAAAAATAATATATTATACTTATTTAATAATATACTAGAACAAAACAAACATAAAGTTATGTAATATTTAAACCAAATCAATACTTAACAAGTAAACAATAAAGATCAAAGTCAAACAATAAAAACGGTTACACACGAAAAAAAATCATCCTAGAGAGCATCCTTGCAGATCAACCTACCCTAAAACTGTTAAAAAAATTCTACTTTATTACAAGGCAATAGAGTTGAAAATCTATTAGTCAGGTCGGAGCAGTTTCTTCGAAGCAACACCTACCCTTGACCTGACGTTTTTCAATGAACATACTGACAAATATTGACGTACAAACGCCTGTAGATTACTCTACTATGTTCTGTCAAACTCATTTATTCGATTTTCAACCTTATAGTTTTAATATAGATTCGAAATTCCTATGACAGAATGGAATAACTTGACCTGCTGTGGTACATACAATGTCAATGTTAGAACTTAAAGCAAATTGTGTAAAGATGTTTTTGCCGAAGTTTGAGGAAATTTTTTATGCTTTATTCTATCCGCATTTCGATCACGGAGCCTCTAGAGGTATCTCATCACAAGGAGACTGGTAATTAGACTGGGGAGTCACTTACGACCAAACGTAGCGTAGGACAAGGTAATAAGGCCACATCGTGTTATGAAAACCAGTATAAACTGAGCATTGAATGTTGCTTAAGATCATACAAAGCTGGACCATGATATACTAGTTGTGTATAGCTTGATTTGTGGCCATGTTTGGTTCAGGAAAAATGTCTATTGTTAATTCCTAAGAATCAAGTATCTGTTTGGTATGGATTTCCGTAAAGTAACACCTGATTCTATTCTGTTTAAGACAAGGTCTTGCTATGTTATATTTGTCCGAAAAGGTCATCCGTAAAAACCTCATGTATGTACTTTTCTCTCTTAGGTAAGTATGTGGAACAATTACAAGCTGCTAGTAACTATGAAATCAAAAAAGATTAATGTTACATTTTAACACAACATAACATTGCGCCTTTTATCTCTGACACGATAGGCCGAGCACATTACGGCACTTAATCCCACTGTACAATGTAACACCAACTTTTCACTTTTTATGTTATGAGTTCCATGTAATCGGAGGTGAGCCTATTGCCATATACCGGGCACGATTTCAAACTCCATGCTACTACTGGGGATTTTTTTACACCCAGTAATACTTTGCCCGACCCGGGAATCAAACCCGAGACCCCTTTCGCGGCAGAGACACTTGCGACCACACGGCCAACGCAGTCAACGTTAAATTTTATGATTAAATATTTGTATATTGTACCAACCTACCTTGAGCAAGCGTGGTGACTAATGCTCAAACCTTCTCGGTGTGAGAAGAGGTCTTAGCAGTTGGCACTTATAGGCTGCTGTTGTTATACTCATATATATAAATATATATGATCCCCTCACGTCATGCTCGTGAACGGGCGCCTTCTGCTGGAGCAGGTCGGCTCGCTCATCGCGCGGTTTGGCCGATCCAGTAAGGTTAATGTAAATGTAATAAAACATGTATTGCTTATATATAGATATTAGACACAACCTTCTTTGTGAAAAAAATGTGTTTAATGTAGCACGTAAGATTTTTGTAACAATTAATTTTGACTGTAAATTAAAAGAAAATGTAATGGAATGACAAGGGCACGGACAAGAGTCCGTGGAGAATAAGAAATGTAATATTAAAAATATATATATATATGATCTGGGTATGAATTCTATGCATCTGGAGGTCTTTTTAATTTAATCTCTAACAAAAAGACTAGTAAATAACTACGTATAAAAATGTATAACATTTTTAGTATCAAAAAAAAATCAATAATTTCAAGTAATGATTTATGCTCTAATTTATTAATTTCGTCTTCTACCAACAGGTGCGCAAGTACTTCAAGTCCTGAACGCTGATTCGCAGACGTTAGCCAAAGACTTCGGTGGTCCCATCCTAGACTACGCCATAGACTACGCTATGAATGTCACACAGAAATTCTTCGATGCTTACACGTATGACCAAATATCTTATGTGCCTCTGACAGAAGACTTCTTCGAGAAGGAACAAGAATAAGAGAGAAGAGAAGATTTAATTTTATCGTTTTTTAAGAAGTTAAAAACGTTTTTTTTTGTGGCTAAAATGTGTATATCAGTTTTAGAGACGTTCTTTAATAGTTGTCTCATTTTAAGCTGAATGCTCCATAGCATCATACGAAATTTAATTTTTTATAAATGTTCTGCAATTTACAGCTCCATATCAGATACTATGATGATAATATATATATTGACGGTAGGAGAATGTATGTGTTAATACAACAATACTTGTTGAAACCATCCACATAGCTCCTCAATTTAGTGAAGTTCAATAATATACCATTTTAGTAAGAACTTGACGTTCACCTATCTGATTCATAATATTTGTTCCGCTTTTATCAAACCGATTTGTAACTTTTTTTTATATATAGGTATTTGATTGGCCGACGTTTGACCACTATCTCGCCTGGTGGTTAGCGATGATGCGGTCTACGATGGAGCACGTCGTCCCATAACCAACCTATTTACTCGGGCATTGATGACACCCACGTTATACCGTTCAGGAAACACAGACTCTGGCAAAGAAGTCCACTCCTTAGATGGACAAGGAATGCGATGCGCTTAGTGCGTGTGAACTGAAAATATTTTTTCCAGCCTCTTAGATAAATAGCATTCAAAGATTGGAAGTACAAGGTAATGTTATGTGATTGATTGACATTCGATTAATTATGATAAATGTCGCTTACCACCAGGCGAGATATAATGATAATGTTTAATGGTAATGTTTAATGTGTTTAATGAAAAGATTTTAATGTTGAAAACAACATTTCTTATGTAATAAGTATTGATTAAGTAGTTCAATTAGATTATATTTTGCTCCGTATGTTGCCGTGCCCTAGCCGGGTTTCATGTTGATACTGTACCTCATGTAACACCAATTGTACACATGATATGCAATAAAAGAATTTGAATTTGAATTTGAGATAGTGGTCAAACGTCGGCCCATCAAATATAAAAAAAAGTTTCTATATATTTACTATTCAATAATGCCATTAGCTTAGAGAGAGATATAGAGGTGATCGGACGTATTTTTTGCATTATGAATTACCTATAGTCGTGCTTTACATAAATATAGAAGAAAGAAAGAAAGAAAAATGGTTTATTTTCATGCCGTCACAAAAATACAGTAACACAAAGAAATTTAAAACCAGTGAAGACGGCGCAAAAAGGCCAGAGGTCAGCTTATATATACAATTTTCATTCGTAAATTTTTTACACATGTTCAAATTAAAAATAATGCAGGACATGATTGTATTGTGATAGTACTTTAATTTTAATTAAGTTTAAATTTAAATTAGTTATATGTAAATTAGCTTCTAAGTAACGGCTTTTTCTTGGTTTTCCCAGCTCTTTTAGAGGTGGCTCTAAATTATTAAGAGACTTGACTGGATTATGTTCGGTATTCAATTTTTTTTAAACGCAGCAATATCCATGACATGCCATGCTTTTCTTCCCAAAATCAAAATGGCATTTAATCGCCAGTTCAACGAATCAAAACTCAAATTATGTCTAATTTTAACAATGTAATTAATAACAATAGTAATTGTAATTTTTGCTTATCAAATGATTTTATAATAACTACTGTAACATCTACATTTGACCTGTATTCGAATTTGAATTCAAGGTCAAATTATGTCAATACTTGCATCAATCCAGGCTTAGACTTATCTATTCACTTGTGGGTGAAATTATAACCGATACTTAATTCAAAATTTGTTGTTTAAGATCGGTTGATGACATTGCATGGAGTTTCTGTCTAAAACAGGTCGATTCAAAGATTTTGAATTAGGGTAGATTACAAATTTCCTTTAAAAATGTATATAATAAAATGTAGATAATGAAAAAATATTAGGCACATATTTTTTAAATTTTGTCATACTAGAAAACAATACGTACTTAGATAATACGAATCAAAGTTTAGAAGTGGAAGTGAAAACGTCATTTCTACGTATAAAACATACCTAGAAGTGACGTCACCACGCGATATTTTAAATCAATATATCGTCGAAAGTATTTGTTTCAGTAACATTTTTAAAAATACGTGTCTAATGTTTTAAAGTTATTTAAAAGACGATCATTAAAATTAAAATTATAGTCATCTATCCTATTGAACTAGGATTTAAATACCCTTTTTTAGGGGAAAGCAACCTATTTGAAACAATACAATGACCCCAAACAACAGCCAGATTTTCTGACTACTAACTGCCTGTAACTATGTCTTACCTATGTCTTACCTGTACCTATATCTGTACTGTACCTATGTCTTACCTGTCTGTACATTTTCGTATGATATCCAAACTGAGAATATAAGAAAACAGTCGCTCTTGGACGAAAGTAAAATTTTAGAAAGACTATGAACAATAACTAGGATTTTTGGACTGTTTAATTGATAAGTAGCTTTAGAGTAATATATTTAAGGATTAAAGTATTTTTTTTCACCATAAACTAACAATTCAATGCAAATGTATTTTATAGAATGAAAAATAACAACCAGTGAATTTCAATTCTTACAATGTGTTTCATACGCATTATAAGTACTGTGTAATATTTCCGAAGTAATTAATATAATTTAATTTTAAATTCACATATTGAATTGTAATTTGTACATAATAAAGTAAATAAACCTTTTTAATTTACATATTTATTTGTGTTTATGAAAATCCTTTTTCAATTCACATACAAGTGTGGCAATACGATTATCCGATTATCCTTTAAAAACCATAATAAAATGTTAGTATTAACATATCCTTACTAATATTATAAATCGGAAAGTGAGTCTGTTTGTTTGTTCTGCTTTCACGCCGTAACTACTAAACCGATTGCTTTGAATTTTTGTAGACGTAAAGTTAGAAGTCCGGATTAAATAATAGGGTACTTTTTATCCCGGAAAAATTTAATGTTCCCGAGGGAAAACAAAAGAATTGGTATAGATGGCGCTGTGTGTATTGGTATATGTCCTGGTTTTATCCTTTTGTTAAACGAGCGAAGCCGCGGGTAAAAGCTAGTGTTGTATGTCTCGAAGTCAATTTCATTGCGCGCGCGGCTAAACTCTTGCGTAAGTGATCCACCCCGGTTGGGATATTACGTCCCAGCACAGATTATGCAGATTGTATCCAACGATACAACGATAGGCACAGATGACTCAGGTTCGTTTGCATTTGAAATTAATTGCCCAATGAAGTGTAGCTATATTTAAAACCATTTATTTTTAATTTAGCCACTAATTCTCACGATGTTGACATACTTTTTTTATTTGGATCCACTGATGTTTGACACAATATAATAACATTAATTCAATGACAGTATAGATAGCTAAATGAAGGGACTTTTGCAGAAAACTTCCTTTTTATTATGGAAAGTAAGCAATTATGGGTCACCTGCTTGTATATGAAATATGACCGACGTCGCTTATAATTATACACCCACAAAACCAGAGAAGTGCGTTCATCATCATCAATAGCTTATAAATGCCCACTGCTGAGCAAAGCCTCTTCTCACATGGAGAAGGTTAGAGCATTAATCACCACGCTTGCTCAATGAAAAAGTCACATTGGTACTTGTCGTTGGTAGATTTTGAACCTGCACCCTCGTGCATGAGAAGCAGACGTCTTCGACCTCCGGGCCACCACGACACCACACGAGAAGTGCGTTACCTATCTCTTAAAAAAATTGCGAATCTTAAGTAGCACCTAGCAAATCAAATTACTAAATCGAAGTCATGTCAAAAATGCAATAAATAGGCAGGCTCTGTAGGTATTACATTACAGAAATGAAAAATCAAACTGGCGACACGTGACACATAACAAATACCAGAAATCAAAAGACATACCTACATGCGAATTAACACGGATAGAAAATCCCAACGAACAACTTGGGCAGAAAGTCCGTCAGGCACGATCGCGTCGCCTGCTCGAAAGATCCTCCATTTCCAATCTTAGGGAACTCTACTCACTATTCCGTAAAAAGTAATATCCCTATCCTTGCATAGTTATCACTCCTATACCTCTTTAGCCAAGAAAATACCCAAGACAATGACAAAAGGAATGCACAATACAAATACTTAGACCATATACGTAAACATGTAACATATACATATAAATAAAGTAAGTAACAAAACTGACCCAATTACAGTTTCCCACAATCAGCTGACTACAAGCTCTCGTCATCACAGTCCTGTTCCTATCATAGTCCACCCACGGCGCATGCGCACTTTCTCCGCGCATCGACTTTTGCGCATTATGAAAGCAATGCACCGCCCGCGCACAATTGGGATCAATTTGCCTGTAGCTATTGTGAATTATTTGAAATTGTTATGGATTTATAAGCTAACTAAACGGCGTTTCCTATCGCCTAAATTGGTTTTGTGTTTTGTAATCTTTGGTTGTGAAGTTTCAATTTCGTTGGATACGAGTGTGAATTGTAGTTTTTTAATGTGTGTTTTACTTACATTTTCGATACATTCTATGCAGGCTGGACAGGTAACATCTCTAAAATTAGGCAATCATACAATTTTTCTACTCGTCCTGATAACAAAGTATTTATTTACAATGATGACTATCTCAGCAACAGCAATACAAGAAGATGACATCACGCCTTTTATCCCAGAAGAAGTTAGCACATTACGGCACTTAATAGCAATACCACTCGGCCAACGAGGCAGTCAATTTGCTTGATACAGGAAGAAAAGAGTGATCCTGTTACAAGAAGATTCAAACATCGTCAAACGTCACCCCATCAAATATAAAAAAAACAAATGATTGAGATGTGTACAATGCGTCCACATACTATGTAAAACCTACATGAGGTTGTGATATGAAAGCCTATTCATACACCGGGCACAATTCCAAATCCCAAGCTATTACAGACAATTTTTAAATGGATAAAATACAAAAGTTGCTATAAAATGGTTGATTCGCCGCACAAATCTAATTTCCCATTTGAAATGTCATCAAAAATAGTTTATTTGTTGAGGCAACGTTG